ATAAGAAAAAAGCCGGAAGTGGCACTGTGGCTCAAGTGGTAGAGCGCTAGCCTTGAGCTGAAGAGCTGAGGGACAGCACCCAGGCCCAGAGTTCACACTCCACTACCGACCAAAAAAACAAACAAACAAACAAAACAACCAAATAAAACAAAGACAACAAACATTTAGGATTAGTAACAATTTCAATAAAAAGCAGTCCAACATTCTAAATTCTTATTTTAGTTCAAAATGGTCTACAGAAGTATGCTTCAGTTATTTACAAAGCAAAGACGGGTGATGAAATACCTTAGGAGATGCTTATTGTCTATCAGCACTTTCAGATAATCTGCCAGTTTCTTTTGCATGAGGGCAAGATAAAGCCAAGCTCTGCCTCTTCCCACAGCTGTCCTAGGATTCAAACAGAGACCAAACTGCAGTGGCATAACAAATAAACATAGGAAAAAACCTCTCACTTTAGCCAGGGAAATTCAGTTGTACAACAATCCTCCCCCCAATAAAGAGAGCATAGGACTCTATGCTGGTTGGTTTGGCATTGGAAGAGGAGGGATGTATACTCTGCTGGGCAGGCAGAAAAAAATAGCTCATTATACACCTTTGGTTACCATTTGAGTTTTGTATGATGGATATATGGATTTGTCTTTTTATTTAAACCAAAAAGGAAATCTTCAGCCACAAAATTCTTATTTCCAGAACACATATAATTACATAAGAACACATATAATTACATAAAACTCTGGATATATTCATAAGACCCTGGGCCTGTAGAATGGATATTCTTTCACAAGATGGATTCAGAATATGGAGTATGTTAAAGTGCTCAAGTCTCGGGCTGGGAATGTGGCTCAGAGCTCAGAAGTAGAGTGCTTGCCTAGTATGTATGAAACCCTGGGTTCAATTCCTCTGTATGACATAAACAGAAAAAGTGGCACTGTAGCTCAAGTGGTAGAGTGCTAGCCTTGAGCAAAAGCAGCTCAGGGACAGTATCCATGCTCTGAGTTCAAGCTCCAGGACTGGGGGGGGGGTTGCGGGGAGCAGGGGGAGGGGACAGAAGGGAGCCTCAAGTCTCCTAAGATATCTAAGGCATTAGTTCCAGTTACAATGCAAAAAGGATTTTGGCCATAGTGCGTTTGAGCTCAGGGTCTTTTACTTGCTAATAAGCAAGTGTTATAACACCAAGCCTTCTAGGCCTTGTTTTATCTTTGTGGTAAGGCACACACAATATAAAATTGTCATCTTAGCTGGGCGCTGGGTGGCTCATGCCTGTAATACTAGCTACTCAGGAGGCTGAGATCTGAGGATCATGGTTCAAAGACAGCCCAGCCAGGAAGTCTGTGAGACTCTCATCTCCAATTAGCCACCAGAAAACCAGAAGTATTGCTGTGGCTCAAGTGGTAGAGAGCTAGCTTTCAGCTGAAGAGCTGAGGGACAGTGACCAGGCCCAGAGTTCAACCCCACGACTGATCAAAAAACAAAAAAAAACCCACTAAAAATGTCTTCTTGACCATTTTAAGTTTTTAGTTCAGTAATGTTAAGTTCATTCATAAAGTTGTACAAATGGTCTCAAAGATACAATTCTGAAAAGGCCTGAGTTAAACATGAAAGAAAAGCTCCTCCAACCTCAGCTCTGAGGTGCCTGCTTAGCATATGGAAGGTCTTGTGTTTGTTCCCCAACACAGGAAAAAAAAGGTTATCAAATAAATACTTGGAAAGTCTGTACAAAAACCTTTCAGCTTAGGCAGACAGGGCTGGACAGTGAACTGGAGGCAGGGCAGCATCTTCCTAGGAAGAATGCTTAAGGGCTGGGCAGCCCAGGGGAGTGGATGGAAAGTGTTTTGAGTCCAGCAAACCCATGATGACTTCCTGGCTCCACCACTCACCAAGCCAGGGCTTTAGGAAAGTTACTGAACCTCTGTAAGTCGGTTTTGATACAAGACATACTAGAGGATGGGTATGGAAGATGAGATGAGGAAAAGAAATGTGTCCAGCACAGTGCTTAGGGTGGAACTGGAACAGACTGACTGGCTACACGCAAGGGTCCAGCAAAGGTGGAAAGGTCAAGCCTCCTATAGGCAACTTGGCAGAGGTCTCTTTCACTCCAATGGAGATCTCTAAGACCCTTTCTTTGTGTTCTGTCTAGTTTTTGATCATGAGCACAGTGGACCCAAGAGCAAACCCAGATGTGGCAAATTAAGTCCTTGGTTTCAGACTATTCACCAGTGTCCCTTATCCTGGAATCTCTGAACTGACCTAAAGTGTATTATTCTAACTGCCTAGATATAAAGGAAGCAAAGTCCTTTTCCACCCATGACAGTTCTTTAATTAACAACATCTTTTAAACTTATTTGAACTGTTATAAACAGGACATAATAACCTCATGCTAAGAAAAAGGAAACTAAGGCTCAGAGATGTATGTATCTTGCTAAATATCATGTGGATAATTAGCAGAGGTGGGACTAATGTCAAAGTAGAGTGTGGCTCATGCTAATTTGTTCCAAACCAGAAAATGTGTTATTAAGATATGGGGGGAAAAATGAAAGTTTAAAACAAAACAAAATAAAACACCAAGGCTGGGAAGGTGGTTTAGTGGCAGAATGCTTGCCTAGCATACATAAAGCCCTGGGTTTGATTCTTCAGTGCCACATAAACAGAAAAAGCCAGAAGTGGTGCTGTGGCTCAAGTGGTAGAGTACTAGCCTTGAGCAAAAGAAGCTCAGGGACAGTGCTCAGGTTCTGAGTTCAAGCCCTGTGACTGGGGAAAAAAATCAAACAGGGAAGATAAACTTCTCACTCACTTTAATTCTGGCAGATTTCTGACACTAGTAGCTAGGTCTGATGCTTCTGGACAAAGTTTCTCCACCAGCTCCAAAGGACCAAAGAAAGATTTATTTTGGCCAATAAAACTCTTCTTAACTAAAAGGGAAAACAAGGTGTTATTCATAAGAACAGGCTGCAGATGTCCCCAGAGCCCCACTTTCTCCCAAAGTCTATGGAAAGCTGTAGAACTCTCCCATGTACTCTTCTGATTCAGTCTTGGTCGTGGGAGAAGGACAAGCAACCAATTAGTTCTCCTTTTCCTCTGACAACAGGGTTCGCTGATATATGTGCTATGCTCTTCTTCCAAGACAGTAAATGCTTCTCCAGCAATAAAGCCGAGACAGCACGTGAGATCCTGCACCCCTCTTTCCCTGCAGCCCCCAACACCAATGCCTGAGTTCTGCCAATCATCCCCGTCATCTCTCCTGGGAACTGCAGAAAACCTCAGAGGGCTTCTAGCAAGGACTATTGTCACCTCCCTACCCTTAAAAAAATGTGAGTTAGGCCACATCTGTTTAAAACTCCCAGGGTCGGGGTGCCAGTGGCTCATGCCTGTAATCCTAGCTACTCAGGAGGCTGAGATCTGAGGATCTGGCAGGAAAAGTCCTTGAGACTCTTATCTCAGAAAACAGAAAGTGGCGCTGTGGCTCAAGAGTAAAGCGCTAGCCTGGAGCTGAAGAGCTGAGGGACAGCACCCAGGCCCAGAGTTCAAGCCCCACGACGGACAAAATAAAAACAAAAACAAAACCCGGAATTCACTTAGAAGGAAATCCAACTCCTACCATTACCATTAAGGGCCTACAAGTCCCAGCCCCTTCCACCCCTCTCAACATTTACAGTGCCCAAGGCCATCACTAGCTGTGCTACCTACCCAGCACCAACAGTGTGGCTAGAGCAACTGAGGAACGAGACTGGGATGGGCTCAAAGTTAGGTAAAACTAGATTTTTAAGCCTTGATATATACAAAAAAAAATGTAAACTACATTATTAACAAGGCTTCAAAGTAGTGGCGGTGTTAAAATGGTATTTTGGATATGCTGGGCTCAATTACAAGTCTTATTAATAATAACTTGGCTTGCTAACTCTTGGTGAACTCGTGGCCCTAGGTGACGTGGCTCACGCTGCGTTTCTCTAGGTCTCTAGAGAGCGGTCACCTTGGGGCCCACCCGGCTGGACGCTCACCTTTCAGCCCGTGTTTGAGGCAGTGCTCCATGACCACGAAGAACTGCTGCAAAGGAGCATGGTCGGCATCCAGGCTGCGGCCCAGGCTCAGCGCCGACTGGAGCAACACCTTCACGCTGAGCTTCATCATGTGCATCAGGTTGGCGCGCTCCTCCATCATCTGGCCCTTAGACGCTGGGGGCACACCACGGGCAGGTTGGTCAGGGGTCCGAGCGGGCCCAGGGCTGAGGGGGGGTGGACGCCAGGCGTGAAGACGCGCGAGGCGAGTGCAGGGGTAGGGCTGCTGGCGAGCCGGGGGTTTTCACCGCGGCTCACGGGCAACTGGGGGGCCTCAGGACCTTCGGGGTGTCCGGGACCTCACGGCCTTTCCCTTCAGAGGCTGCTCCCAGACGGCTCCGCGCGTTGCTAGGGCGACGGCTCTATCAAGACTCATCGCGATTGGTCCCCCGCACAACCCACGTTCTATTTTTCACCAATCAAAGGGTCAAGTGGCAAGAATCCCTGCCTCTAAATGAAGGGACGCTCAGGGAAGTGGCCCGCCCCCTAGCATTCCTATTGGACGAATCCAGCCCTAGGCCACGCCCAGGAGCCCAGGTGTGGTTGGCCTGGAAGGGGGCGGATCTCCACGGTCCCCGACAGCTCCAGAGCATGTTCTAGTCCTCTAAGGACCCGGGACAGAGACCCGAGATCAGCAGGTCCTTCAGGGAAGTATCCTCGCTTCTTGGCACTGACAATTCTGAGCTTGCACGTACTTTTTCTTTTAGTTCATTTTTCTTAAATTGTTAGAATCAAATGCGTGAGCTCATCCGCACCTCCATTCTAGTAGTCTTGTCGTTTTGTTCCGGAAGTAAATGAGTGTTTCTACAGCTAATGCTAATCTGTAGTGCATACCAAATGTTCACTCGAACTCAGGAAACTACATCTTAGAAGTTAAATACAGAAGAACTAGTATGTGTGTGTGTGGGGGGGGGGGTCCCATAGGAGCCAGGGCGTGAGTTCCTCAGTATTTTGCATCTTTACTGCCTCTTAGCATTTCTTCTGTGAATTGCCTGTTAATCTTTCTAATTTTTTTTTGCTTTTAATTTTTTATTGTTTCCATAAAGGTGATGTACAGAGAGATTACAGTTACATGTCAGGTACATTTCTTTTTGGATGTCATCCCTTCCCTCAACTTTCTTCCAGTTTTCCCCTCCCATCTTTCTAATTCTTGTGTCCCATCCTTTGCCCTGGTTTTATTTACTCTGTTCTAGATTACAAATAAACAACAACAAAGCCCTCACTTTAAAGGCAGGAACATTCCAGTGGAGGGGAGGCAGTAGAGGGGCCATGGCCTGTCTGTGTCACGCAGCAGTTTTAGTGGCAGAGTTCTAGAGGAACTAAAACCTCATGACTGACTTGGCTGACTTGGTGCTCTGACCCATTCTGAGTTTGGGAGGGGACAGGACGGGGCGGTCAACTCCTGCAGGAGGACATTGGAAATGGCTGCCACTCAGAGATCAAGAGCATAACAGTTCCGACACCTGTGGCTCATACCTTTAAAGCCCTCGCTACTGAGGAAGCTGAGATCTGGAGGATCTCAGTCCAAAGCCAGCCCAGACAGAAAAGTCTGAAAGACTCCATCTCCAAGTTAACCAGTAAAACTCCAGGCTGAGATCAGACGCTGGTGGCTTAGGCCGACTGTAATCCAAGCTATTCAGGAGGCTGAGACCTGAGGATTACAGTTCAAAGCTAGCCGGGGCAGGAAAGTCTGTAAAATTCTTATCTCCAATTAAGCCCCCCCCCCCCGCAAAAAAAAAGGCCAGAAGTGGAGCTGTGACACAAGGGCTAGAGTGTTAGCCTGGAGGAAGAAAGCTCAAGGGACAGTGTCCAGACCATGAGTTCAAACCCTAGGACGGGGACACACACACACACACACACACACACACACACACACACACAGAGCCAGGTTAGAGTCGAGGCACAAGCGGTCAAGCTCCAGATGTTGATTAGAAAGCCGAAGGGGACACTGAATTCAAGTCCAGATAACGCCAAAACAAAAAAAAATGTCCAAAGAACAGAACGGATGGCGACCCATTTCTTCCAGATCCACACAATCACCATCCATTATCCATCTCCGCCGACCTGGGGCAGCACCCGCGAGACGCGAGGCTCCCGAAGCCGTCCCCCCACCCGCGCCGGGCCCGGCGAGACCCCACGCACCGAGCTCGGTTCGGCTGCGTGCGCCGCGCCG